AGATTGTAGCAGAAAAAAACACAAAAGGGAAGACGACTAAGGTTTCTTCGATATCGCCTTACCAAAATCACTCCTTATATATGGCATTCCCATGAAATCAAACCCTTTGCTACACGACAACAAGAAAAAATCGAAGGCCTACGCCTACGGCTACTCGTACGGTACATTTCGTCAGGTGTTTGAGAAAAAAATTGTTTTCATTCATTATTTCTAAGAATTGAAGTTTTATATTGAGGGTCTGCCCCTTCGTTCCCAATTTTTGAATTTTTTTCCTGGAAAACTAAACGGTTTTACACTGTAAAAAAATCGGCGTGAGTGAAAGCAATAAAGACGCGGATTGAATTCATTGAGTGAAATTATTGAGTACATTTTCACTCAATATTGAGCATTTTGATAATTTTACTCATTCGTTATAATATTTGAAGTAAAACTGAATACTTTCACTCAAATATAGGTACCAGTTTAATAAACTCGTATTATTGAGTGGTTGTCGTGCGTTGTCTTTGTCTGTTCCCATTATCCTCATTAAGTCATCTCGTGACGTGGTGTATGGCGTGTAGTGTCTGTTAATCCGGTTATTTTAGTGAATATTATGTTTAACTGCAGTGGCTTGATTACAATAATTAAAAACAATAATATGTTGTCAAATGTCACTCACTTGATAGTTAGCAGAAATTCGAATTTGTTCTGTTGCAATAGTTTCACTAAATCTTAGTTGTACTCATACTAATAGAGTGAAAATTTCACTCAAGCGGGTGTGAACAGAAACATTCTTGAGTAAAATTGAGTGAATTGACTGAAATTTTTTTTAGTGTGTAGGTTATTTTGAAATGTTTTTAGTTTTTTGTGATTTATGAAATTAAAAAGTATATAAGGAAAATGTATTTAATACCCCAAAATCCTAACCTTAGAAAGTTGTAAACGGCCTGTATTACAATTTATAGATATCGCCAAATTAGGTGAAAAAAAAAAAAAAACGTTAACGGTACCTTGAAAACAAAAGATAGATCTGTAGGAAAAAATCTCATATTTTAATTTCCAATTAGGTATGCTTAGAATATGTGGTACATTATTTTGAGACACCTTGTATACGGGCTGTTTCAGAAAGACATCCCGTAACTACAGGGGGTGATAATGCGACAAAAAATAAGAATTTTTTTGTCTTATGAACTATATGTCTATCTCCTCTTGTTTTCGAGATACAGACCGACAACATATTTTTTTTAAATAGAGTTTTTACGAAAATTTCCAAACGATACGAAATATTTTTATGAAATTGAGTGTTCCTGGGTTTTTAAGGATGCCAAATACGCTGGTCTAATTTTACATATAAGTTCTAATTTTTTTGAGGTTAGGTTTTTTACCATTCGGGCTCCAATTTCTAATGTACAATTTTATTTTCTAAAAATAATGTACTCCTGTTAGAACTTCCTAATGTGGACGATTTTCGAGAAAAAAGGCTTTTAATTGAACTCTTACAATATTATGGTGTATAAAAAAATAAGTGACTTTTGTCAAAGTAGGCTTATGTCAAAACTTATTGATGGATGTCTCATAAACAACGCATACATTCTTAGTAAAATTTTAAACTCTAATTAACCTTATATCAAAATTTTAGTGATTGTTAGTGTAGTTAGTAATGACTAATTACAGTATTAGAAATTGGTGCCCGAATGGTAAAAGACCTAACCTTAAAAAAATTAGAACTTAAAATGTAATAGGAATGTAGCATAACTAGCGCCATCTATGAAATATTAAAAAAAAAAAAAACAAGGGAATTGGCAACCCTAAAAAACCCCGAAAAACAAAATTCAAAAAAAAAATTCACAACCGCATGGAAATTTTCGTAAAAATTCTATTTAAAAAATTTTATTTTGTCGCTTTGTATCTCGAAAACAAGAGAAGATAGACATAAAATTCATAAGACAAGAAATTCTTATTTTTTGTCGTACTATCACCCCCTGTATTTACGGGAGGTCTTTCTGAAACAGCTTGTATATATAATATAAAAACCCACTAATTATTACAGCTGTTCTTTTGGTGAATTAAGAGTTAAGGAAGTCTATTAGATTTATATTGTGTACCGAGGCAGCTAGCCAGTTCATTTTTAGTATCCTTCTAGCATTTTTACGGACCGCTACATCTGAAAAAAATTTAAAATGTCTTGTTTATGTTGCGATGGAACAGACATGAAAAGTCTTGTGTGTCGAATGATTTTGTTGAGCTCAACTTATTAGTGAGAAAGGCCAATTAATGGTTAAATGCGTAAAAGAAATCGACCCTTACAGTTGCCGTACTGGGTATTTTTATTTATAACCTAATTATATTCCTATTCGGCGTATGTAATATTCCTAAGTATGTAGCTGATAATGAACAATTGTCGACTATTTTGACAAGAAGCCACTAAGTAAAAAAAAAATAACAACATTGCGTGGCATACTATTTAGTTATATTTAATATAGCTAAATTATTATTAAATTTTTTAGCGACACCAAAAGCACGCAAATGTCGAACTTTACTCATTACAAACAGCCGCAACCTTCCCATGCAAACCACAGCCTTCTAGTTGGAACGAGAAGATGCAGCAGACGAGATTGTCAGACTCTGTGGTCGATCTATGTTTGTTTAAAGGATTATATAAGTCTGGACTGCAATATATTTCTTGGGCGGTTTTTCCAAAATCGTCCGTCTCAGCCTCGACCTACCCCAAGGCGTTGCCGGTAACGACTTTTTTAACCTACGCCAACTTCGATTAACGCAAGAACCCAAGTGTAAACCGTGTCTTAAGTAATACAAGAAATTAACAAATCCTGTTAAGTCCGCTGCCGATCTGTTTGCGGTCGCCGTCAATTTTTTTCGAACTATTAAATCGCAAATTAGCGAAATTTATTTCTTCCCAGGCTTTCTTCATGCGCAAAAAATCAGGTCGAAATCGATGTTTTCAATATGGAACGTTCTACATAATCGATTTGAAATAATGAGCATGAAAAAATGTGTTGTTATAGGAGATATCGTGGTGATTTCTAGTTATCGTTTTTGTCCGAGGTGTGACGCACTGCTGTGCAGAAACCGAGGTGGATAGGCTTTGAAAAAAAAAACCGGAAAAAGGAAAATGGACGGATATGGAGAGTTTTGTTACACGCCGGTAATCTTTGTCTAAAGAAACAGATAAATTTCGACACAAAACTGTTAAAGGAAATTGTATGCGAAAATAGTAGGGACTAGAGTGTGTCTTTCAGTCCAGAGACACTTTAGTTCTATAAAATATCATTTTAGTTCAGCGGGTGCTAAAAATTGCAATACATTTCGACAAAGATGATTAAAGAAAATGGTGTGGACTGAACATCTTTTTGTTTAGACACTTTAGTTCTATAAAATATCATTTTAGTTTAGCGAGTGCTAAGAGTTAAAATACGTTTCGACATAAAGAGATTATAGCTTGAACAAATATATAAGAACCAAAGTGTATATTTTAGTCCCAAGACACTTTAGTTCTATAAAGTTTTAGTCCAGGACACTTTAGTTTTACGCAATATAAATTTCAGCGGCCGCTAAAAGTTAAAACAAATTTCGAAATAAGAAGATTAATATAGCATGAAAAAAATTACTTAAGACTTAACATCTTTTAGTTCAGAGACACTTTAGTTCTATAAAATATCGTTTTAGTCCAGTGGGTGCTAGAAGTTGCAATACAGTTAGACATAAGACGATTAAGGAAAATTTAGCACAAAAAGAATGGTAGGGACTTAACATAGTTTTGTTCAGAGACACTTTAGTTCTACAAATATATTTTTAGTTTAGCGAGTGCTAAAAGATTTAATACATTTCGACATAAAAAGTTTAAAGAAGAATAATATAACGTGAGAGATGATAGTGACTAAAGGGTATATTTTAGTCCAAAGACACTTTAGTTCTATAAAATATCGTTTTAGTTCAGCGGGTACTAAAAGATGCAATACATTTCGACAGAAGACCATTAAAAAAATATACCACGAAAAAAATGGTAGGGACTTAACATATTTTTGTTCAGAGACACTTTAGTTCAATAACATATCGTTTTAGTTTAACGAGTGCTAAGATTTAAAATACATTTCGACATAAAAAGATTAAATAAAATTGTATAGCTTATAAAAAATTACAAGGACCAAAGTGTATATTTTAGTCCAAAGACACTTTAGTTCTATAAAGTTTTAGTCCAGGACACTTTAGTTTTATGCAATATAATTTTAGTTCAGCGACCGCTAAAAGTTAAAACAAATTTCGACATAAGACCATTAATATAGCATGAAAAAAATAACTGAAGACTTAACATCTTTTAGTCCAGAGACACTTTAGTTCTATAAAATATCGTTTTAGTCCAGCGGGTGCTAAAAGTTGCAATACGTTTCGACATAAGGCGATTAAGGAGAATATAGAAAAAATGGTAGGGACTTAACATATTTTTGATCAGAGACATTTTAGTTCTACAAATTCTTTTTAGTTTAGCGAGTGCTAGGAGTTATAATACATTTCGACATAAAAAGATTCAACAAAATTATAAAACATGAAATATGATAGTGACCAAAGGGTATATTTTAGTCCAAAGACACTTTAGTTCTATAAAATATACCATTTCTAATCCTTGATTTAAATTTACTTTAAATTTCGCAAAATATATACTTTAAACCGGCACATCATTCAGTTCAATACTAGGTGTTCTTATGGCTATACTTACATTTTAGTTTTTGCTGCAACCTTTAAAGCTAGGAACAGAATGAAGTAAAGAAAAGTTCCTATGATTATATGTACTTGCCTTCTTGGCTTGAAAAAAATAGTGGCTACAATTCTTTTTTTCAATAAATACCTTTACCTACGCTCACGGCTATATAATAAAATTATTTGATGGAACAGAAGTGAAGCTGTCTAGGCACCATGTTACATATAATTCGAGACATCATTTATTTATCAAAACAAAGAAAATTTTGGATCGCTCAAATATATACGACTAAGCAAAGCCTTACCTGGGGATTCGTGTTTATAGGAACTGATCGAACCGTCAGTGCTCTGAGAGGACCTCACACTCCTGCTCCTAATGGCCTCCAAGTGAGAGGAGAACGTGCTGTCCATAAAAGGACGTTGGATCCCTATTGCTTTATACGAAGTGTGCTGTCCACCTACAACAAATTTGAAACAGATACATAACACAAACTGTATTTTAGCGGACCGTATGGGCGTCTGATTTTCAAACAAACTCAAAGGGTTTCAAATCAGGAAAACGTGTAGGTCGTACCAACTTAGACGTATATATTTTTATATTTATACTGGTTTTTGTAGCAGCGACAGTTTCTGTTCGTCCAGCGAACCGCAGGAAGGGGCGCGGCCGTCTCGAAACGTATCGGCGTGGTACGCCAATTTTTTTCTACCCGCCCGTCACCGATTATTAATTCTGTCATTATTTAATCAGGCATTTACCATAAACGATTTGAAACTGGACGTCTAACGAGTTTTTTCACGGACGGAAATGCTGGTTTGAAATTTATATGGGTTTTATAAAATCATGTTTTGTTTAGCTGTCTCCGAGACCGCAATTGTGGGGTAACGTGGACCTGCCTCTGGACATGGAAGATTTCAGCTGTACTGTCGACTACAAGAGCCTGAAACTTTGTGAAAACATTTAAGAAAAGTCCTCGTATTCTCAAACCGATTGTGGCTAAACATGTAAAAGCATCAATAATGATAAAACTACAAAGTGTATTTATATTTTTCCCTCCGACACTATACATATCGTTATTATGGCATAAAATTCTTCAGGAGTAAAAGTTACCTTTGTTACACTTTTGCATCAAACACTGATTGAATCAAATTAACTACAAAGTGGATGGTTTTTACTTTGCTTCAAAGGCATTAAACTATTTATTTTTGACGAATTTTTTAAAACTTTAAATACCACTACCTTTTTTTGCAATTTTTTTACAAAATTGTATTTGTAAGAGTCCCCTATATATTATAGAATACGGTGGTCATATTGAACAATCGAAGCAACTTACAGAAAGAGGTAAGTTTAGTTAAATCTGCTTATGTCGATCGCAGGAAGCCGTACACGGAATATTGGGACACCCTGTATACGTACACATCAAGGTTCACCCTGTATAATATAACGAATGCCCCAAATCACGAACTTTCTGTCACAGTGACCCACATTTTCCCGATTTTGTTACAATTTTTTTTTAAACTTGAGAAAATCTGTAAAAACCGCTATTTATCACCGCGACCACCACTCGTAGGGGTAACTAATAGACAGCCTCATAATTAGTCGGCTAAGTCCCGTAGCCGGCGAGTTTTGAGAGTACTCTTGCAACGGCAGTAATGAGCTTCGGTCAGAGGGAGCTACAGTAGTTCTATCGGCGGTAAATGGAGTAATTACTTACAGAATAATGAGCCCGTAATTGCTGCAATAGCAGATTTGTAAATTGCTAATCTGACGCATTTGTCAGTGATTGGTTTCTATGTGCGTGCCTATGTGTGGAACTGAAATCCTGCTGTATTTCAGTTACATTTCAAATGCATCCCCGTGAAAACGGACCTCCGCCCACCGTTACGGGCCATTTCAGTGTCGAATGACTAAGATGACCATTTCCAATCGAGACTATTTTTAGTCATAATTCCTTACAATGATTCATTTTCTGTGAAATGACTATTTTCTGACGATAACTTTAACCAAATTACTCGTTTTCGATTGATTGACGATAAATTGACCATTCTTGAATAATATGACCATATTTGATAAAATGACTGCTTCCTAGCAAATCATTTACCATTCACTGTTCCATAAAAATGACTATTTTTTATTGATCACTTAACCAAATAACTTTTTTTCAATAATTATATTGCCTCGGATAAAATGACAATTTCTAAATCAAATGACTATATCTATTTGCTAAATAAGTTTTTTACCAAAATCATTTTTATTTCATTAATCTGTGAAATTAACATAATGTTTTTCGATTAAATGAAGATTTCTTGATATAACTTTAACCAAATAACTGTAATATTTCTATTGTTTCCGATAAAATGACCATTCCTAAACCAAAGCACTTATTTGTTAAATTACCGCTTTATACTCGTGTTCTGTGAAATGACTCTCTTGATGATATCTTTAATCAAATAATTTTCCAACAATTTTATTGTTTCCTATAAAATAATAATTTTTAAGTCAAATGACCATATTTGTTATATGACTTTTCTAGAAAGACATTTTTTTCCATTAATCCATGAAATGTTCCTCAAAGAAATGAGAATTTCTGAGATTAACTTTAACCAGGGAACTATTTTCTATAATATTTCTATTATTTTCGATAAAATGACCATTTGTAAAACTAATAACTTTATTTGTTAATTGGCGACTTTCTAGGGAAACCATTTTTTATTCACGTTCTGTGAAATGATTATTTCTTGATACAGCTTAAACCAAATAATTTTTTCCACTTAAAATTCTAATGTTTCCGATGAAATGACAAGTCAAATGACAGTATTTGTTAAATGGACGCTTTTCAACGAAATCATTTTTTTATTAATCGATATGTTTGTTCTTCAATAAATGAGGATTTCTTGAATATTACTTGGAACAAATATTTCTATCGTTGTCGATAAAATGACCACTTTTAAAGCAAATAACCCTTTTTTTAAATGACCATTTTCTAGTGAAAACTTTTTAATTAACCGTGAAGTAAAATGACTATTTTCTAACAGAAACATTAACTAAATAACTCTTTAAGATAATAACCTTTCTATAATATGACCATTTCTGAATCAAATGACTATGCTTGACATAATGACCAATTAATATTAAAATCACTTTCCATCCAATTTCCTATGAAGTGAGTAGCTTTTGATAATAATTTTAACCAACAATGTTCTAATTTTATTGAAATGACCTCGTTTTAATGAAATGACTCCGATACTAATACAATGAAGATCGCACAATAATTGCCATATCATTTTAGTACATTATTATAGTGAAGTACCATTTATAGCAAAGAAAAATTGTAATGAAGTCACAATATTTTATTAAATGACTTATTTGTTGCACGGCATTTTCTTGATGAATGAAGGCGCCTTAATACAACCTTGTCCTAGTTTGCAGACATTATGAAATATCCAGATCCTAAACAGGTCAAGATTGACGTATCAAAGACGTCAATTGTTGAAGATATTTCTTTTCACGATGATGATGAGAAATAACTGCTATTCTTAGATAAATCCACGACGACAGAAGCAGTTAGGTCCTAATACGTAAAAAGACTGGACGCGAGCTCCAGTCCTGTCATTTTTTCGTGGATCTGTTGTCACCTTAATGGATGCTAAATGAACTGGAAAGCAAGAAATAGATCGAAAAAACATACTTATTAACTACAAGTATATTTGCCAGCACAAGGTCAAGTTTATAAAGTTATTAGCTGAAAAACGCCAAACCATGATAATAAAATAAATTGCTCGATGTTATAAATAAATACGGTTTTTGTTGCGTATCAGGATCTGCAAAAGTTTTATGTTTGAAGGAGATTAACGTTGTTTCTCTTTTTTTTTCGGTAACGCGACAACTTAGCCAGTCCGAGTCAAAACATAGTTTTTGTGGCAGCCCCACAGCCAAAGATAGACATCTTTCGATGAACACCTGTTGAATTATCCAACACAATTGTTGCAATATCACGTTAATCATAATCACTATAGATGACTCAGCTCGGGGAAAAAACAAATTAATTTACCTAGTTTATGAAGTATATCTATCTATCTACTCGAGTATGTTAAAGCAATAAGTGAACTATTATTGCATGTTTTAACTTCGTATATGAATCTTAAGTTTCCAAAAGTGGTGGCAATTTACATTTAAAATTAGCCATTTTCTGTATAAATTTCGCGTCAACTTTGCTACGTCAAGGTAAAAGAACATTTGCAATCATAAAAACATTTATGCTGTCTTTAATAAATAAATGATTATGTAGTAGAGATAATAGAGGTTATTGCAAAATATTGTAAGTAAACTTTATTATTTATGTTTTTGTTGGAAAAATAGGAAGAGTCCCAGAAACTGTAAGGGACGTTTTTCAAACTAAAGATAACATATATTTTATAAAAACCACATCAGTAATACTTCTCCTATTTTCTAAACTGTTCAATGCTCATGATGAACCGCTCCAGAAAATAATTTTGAGGTGCGCCTCTCTGTGGATAAACACCATCTAGCGTCAAAAACTCACACTTGAAAATATCAGAGATGCAAACTCACCAAGAGCAATTTTGGTGCTTTAATATACTCAAAGTCTTTAATGTCTCTTATAACGAATCCAATCCTTTTCACCTATGACAATCTATTGTATGAGGTTGTTCGAATAATTTTTGGTCGAAGGTAACCTCAAAATCATGTATGTTTGGTCGATTTAATATAATATCTTCCAGCTGATAGTCACAGATTAAAGGACTAGATATAATGCAATAAAATCTAAGAAAAAAAAATTGAATATCGTCGGCATGTATAAAGAACGTTTACGTCAAAGTATCACTTATATCATTAGTGAACATGGTAAATAATAATGGACCAAGGGTAGATCCTTGCGGAACACCNCTTTAATGTCTCTTATAACGAATCCAATCCTTTTCACCTATGACAATCTATTGTATGAGGTTGTTCGAATAATTTTTGGTCGAAGGTAACCTCAAAATCATGTATGTTTGGTCGATTTAATATAATATCTTCCAGCTGATAGTCACAGATTAAAGGACTAGATATAATGCAATAAAATCTAAGAAAAATTGAATATCGTCGGCATGTATAAAGAACGTTTACGTCAAAGTATCACTTATATCATTAGTGAACATGGTAAATAATAATGGACCAAGGGTAGATCCTTGCGGAACACCGGATACTTGTAGGTATTCAGTAGACTAGTAACCACGATAGTGCAAAAATTGCGATAAGGCCACCATTCATTTCAATTTTAACAAGTTTAACAATGGTCCAGACGATGAAATGCCTTAGAGACGTTGTTATAGATGTTGTAGTTACGGGGAAGCCCGCTTCAATTCTGCTAGAGCAAGACGTATTTATCGTTGCTTTTCCAGCGGTAGCTGTTTTACAGAAGGACATTCGTTTAAGCATCTAAATGTCTTCTTGATACTG